CCGTTAATGTAAAACTAAGCTAAGTACTTTGTTATAAATAATAAGCTTACAGTATTTTCAAATCATTCGCTTGCTTTACCTCAATCCAATACGTTTGTACATTATTGCGTTATTGCGTTATTCGAAATAAAGTCAGTGTTAAGGTAATATAAAGGAAACCGCGCCTTTTAATTTAATAAAGTACAATTAATATTTGTTTTAATCTTTTTATTCAACGTCACTAGTTGAGTAGAAGTAGTATCTAACAGCTCTCTCTCATATTGTACGGGACTATCCTGTTTGAGGTTTCGAAATTAAATTAAAGTAAGAAACATTTTCAATAATTTTTTATATTAAAATTAATTTTTTAAGGTTTAAGGTAGTTTTGGACACTTTTCGGCACATACTGGGCGGTACCTCAGACACAATTTGACGAGTATTAGTTTTTAATTGCCCTACAGCTCAAAATTTGTCCGCGGAAGCAAGGTCTTTCGTGTAGCCTCACAAAAAAACTCCAACGGTGCCAAATCACACGATCTCGGTGGCCAATTGGCATAGCCAAGACGAGAGATTACGGGGAGTTTCTTTCGCAATAATGCGATATTCGCTCGTGTTGTGTGGTATGTGACAACAATTACAGGCAAAAACCAACTGGTCAAAACGCTTCGAATCGACAGTGACTGTCTCGCCGTTTTTCAATCACGCCTCCAGACCAAAAACCACTCCAGATTGTAAGTTTCTTTTTTATGTATGTGCAAGAATACCCCCGAGTGTTTTTATGTATGTGCCGTAAGAAAGCCCCAGCTTTTGAGAACGTCGAGAAAATATACATGTTGAGATCATTGCCTCCACTTTCACTTACGAGCAAACCTGTAATGCATAGGCCGTTCAATATTTCTAACTGACCGCGTCTCTTCAAATTTTATTAAGACTACCAACTGTCTGAGTAGTCGGACGATTATGTGCAATAGTGAATAGTCGGACGATTAGGTTTTAATGGTTGTTAAGGATCCATTTTCATAAATGCTTGACTATTAACTAAAACGAAATATTTGGCTTGACAGTTAAGTTTTACAGATGTCAATAATACATCCCTGTACTTTTAAAACAACGTAATTGATAACCCCAAACATGTACTAATAGAGAGTTAAGCGTGCAACAAGGTATAAATATATGAGATGAAATGATAAATAACCTTACAACCACAGTTAACCAGTTTTCACTTGAATTCTAAAAATCTACAAACACATTTTGGTTCTAACACAGTTACAATATTGTCATGCAAATGCTTTTAAATGCTCTTCATTCGAATTTTAAAGAGAGTGCATCTAAAGATATTAGTCATGGTACTGCCTAGAAAATATACTTCGATCTCAACGTTATTAAATAGTCAGTCTTGGAATTTAGATAACGTGATCTGCGTTGGATGCGATGGGACTGCTACTAATACCGGCTGGAAAGGTGACGTGATTCAATATTTAGAGCAGTATTTAGAAAGACCCTTACAATGGTGTGTTTGCTTTCTTCATGACAATGAGTTGCGGCTTAGATATTTATATTTGGGTTAGGTAGTTGTATTTTATATCCTTGAGAATATTTGAGGTTTATCAGAAAACAAATGATAAATTATGAAGATAAAAGCATTGTGTCTTTTGGTGTAGTAACATGTAATTTACCTGACTTACCTAACACGGTGGTTGATAAATTAAGTACAGATCAAAAAATTATCTATATAAGATGTGTCAAGCCATATCAGTCTGTATATGTTTTTCGAGTTGGCAATCCGGCAACCTGGAAAATTATCGCACCCTAGATGGCTTACCTGTGCCAATCGCTTGTTCAGACTTTATGTAAGTACACCTTATCCGTCACCCAATATGCAGATGCTTGTAAGCTCCATGGTTAGCGAATTTTAAAGCAGGTGCCAGAGACATTTTTCAAATTCTTACATATCTTCGATATATGCCTGAAAGGCTGTTAGCTGTAGTAGATCCTGTGATTAAAAGAAATACTTACGCATGTTTATTAATTGATGAAGAGCTCGCAGTGCGAATAATCATACAAGGCGGACATTTTAAAACTACGGGTAAATGTGGGGTATGTGGGGCTTAAAATTAGCTTCGCGGCTTATAATCACTATTACTATTTTATCTTATTTCTACTATAAGAAAGTATTTTAAATTGAAGTTTGCATATTTTTTTATTTACAAGCTAGACCTGATAAACCCTCAAGATGATTCTTAAATGTAGTGTTTTAGCAGTTCTGTAATCTGTATTTAATTATGCAAATTTTTATACCTCTTGCAATTAAAAAGGACAAAAAACTTTTTTTCGAACATTGACAGGTCACCTTAATGTACATGAGTATGATTAGAGATAAATTTTAAATTTTAACTACTATATAAACTTTGTTATTTTACAGATTTAAATTAAGTAATTGAAATGAAGAAACCACCATATGGAGTTAAGGTGCCGTCTCTGCCACAGTATTTGGTGAGTTTCATTCTTTTAAAATTATAAATGTTACACATACACATTTTATAAGCTTAAAAGAATAAATAGTGCCCAGAAAATGAAATGCAGTGCAAAGCAAATATAATTCCAAAGTGAACGCCTTTCTTTCGTTTTTCTGATATTCCTATGTACGTTTATGTACGTGTTTGAATTTGATTTACGTGTTTTCGTGTTCATTTATTCAATATTTTATTAAGCTTTTTAATCATCGTGCTATGGGCAAAAAAGCCGATATTTTTGCATAAAGTGTATACTTTTAAAACATCAATATTCAATTTGTGTTTCCCGGTTTGAAATTACCGCGTAAATAAAGTCAGCTTATCATATGTACGCTTGACCTATCGAAATACTACTGGACATATTGCTAAGCTTTGCTCATTTGTTGTGTCTTTAAAGGGAATATTGTTTGGAAATATAGCAAATAATCGTATAGGTATTGTTGCTGATTAAACTTAAGATTTTCATTTATTCAATTTTACATTTATGTTCTTAACCTTCATTTACTTTAAAACATTACTGAATTTTTTAAATATGGTATCACTTTAATTTATTTCGTTAAAAGTTTCAAATTTTAACGAAGCGTTCATATATGCATTCATATACTTCATTTTAAATTTAGTTGTACAGAACGTTTGAAGAAAGAAAAACGAAGAGTAAGTCTTTGAATTGTTAAAATAGTTCTTTATTTAAAATAATTTGATTTTAGATATTAAAACTGTGCTGTTGATTTGAATGTAAAAACTCAATAAACCGCTTGTTTGTAATACTCGTTTATGTTGATATTCTTTCGAACGTTTATTTGCTGCCGCAACAGGTATGTAGAATCAACGTTGTGTGTTAGTTTCTATAAGTTCCGTATGCTTTGTCGTGTATCGTCAATTGTTGTTAAAGTATTTTTGCAGCTAAAATTAAACAAATGTAATTTTTTTTCGTTGAGTGTTACTTTTATGTCGCGCCAACGCCGCTCCCCCTTTATGAAAAAATTACAAAATCATGAGTTTCGCCATTCAACATTGCTGAAGGTTTGGGACCACGACGACTCTGCCGTAGCGAAGTGGATTGTGGAAGCAATGAGTTTAACTGATGTCAGCAACTCACAATTTCTTCAAATTGATGGAACAGTTCAGAGTTTTTTAACGCCCATTGAGAAATATTTGCCTAAAGGCAACCCTATGTTGAGATGTAAGATTTAAAAAGAATCACCTTGGATGATAGTAAGCTCATTATCCATCACCCTCTAAAATGGGTGCAGAACAATTAAATTACTCTCGTTCTGGAATGCGTTCAAAACATAAAATAGCAAGTTATCTTGCAATCTTGCATTATTGCTACTATTTCTGCAAAAAAGCTGATGGAATTTGATTTGGTTAATGCGTTAAAAAACCAGATATCAAAAATCTTTTTGTTGAAAAATGGACCTACCAAACAGCAGTATATCTATATGCATCATCTTAATAAAGCTCGCGGCTGCGATATTTTTTATCTATATTCAGGTTTTTTCGTTACCAAACCTCTTTGCAAACCAATTGTTTCTGTTCGAGATTGGTTGGGCCACTGCGCTTCTGTCACTTCACAGTTTATTTTCCCTGCATCGCGAAGCGCTTTGTCTGTCTTTCTTAATGGCTTTTTTATTGGAGCGCTTTTCAAAAGGCTATTTTGAGCCGGCGCTTCGACTTCTTCACAAACTTTTTTTTTCAACTTTCTTGTGGTGTGCTTTGCCCATAACTAATTAAAGCTTTACTTTATAGGGAAGCGCTTTGTCTGCGGCTGTTTCTAGGCCTACGCGTCCACCTTTTCACACACTTTTCTCTTTATAGTGGACCGTTTTGCTTGTGGCTATTCTTAAGCTTGGGCGCCCACTTTGTCACACTTCGTTTATAGCTTTTCATTCTGTTTTCTTCATTTTATAGTGGTGCGCTTTGACTATGGCTTTTTTAAAGTCTGCGCGTAAACTTTTTCACTGGTTTTTTCTTCTTTTGCTTTATTATTATTTTCAATTTCTTAATTTTTGTAAGCCTTTTTCTTGATATTTTAATTTTTTAGACTTTCTTTTTTACAATTTTTTTCACTTTGTTTTTTTTTCATTTTTTTTTTTTAAATTTTAGGCTTTCTGTTTTACTGTTCAATTTTTTTCTAATATTTTCACTTTGTTTTTTATTCTTATATTTCTTTTAAGTTTATTTTTTCTACTTTTCGCATTTTTCTCCCTCGCCACTTTCTACTATGGGACCTAGCTGTTCTTCTTACATCTACATCTGATAAGACGTTTAATTTCCTCTTGCCTCACCTTTCTCACTGCCCATATTATCGGCAACCATTCCTTGCCGGCTTGCGTACGCTATCACTCATTCCTTCCAGTATAACTCCTGCGTAAGGACTATTCGTAGTCCAAAATATCTCGCATCGGTTTGTAAGATAAACCTCTTTGGAAACTTCGGGTAAACTAACACTGTTGCTTGTGTGAGGGCGACCTTTAGTACTCCAAATGCTGCTTGCTGTTTTTTGGCTTATTTCCATTTCTTCTTCTTCTTGAGCATTGATGTCAATGATTGTGACACTCGCGAGAAACCAAGTCCGGCAACTATAAACGGGGTGTACTGTTTACTACTTTCCTTATTTGGGATAAGCCAATTTCCGTTCTTCAAATCCAGGCTGCTGATAAAATGGGCGCCCCGAAGTCCATCTGGTATATGCTGGATGCGTCGCGACGGGTAGGCGTCTAGTATGGACCGTGCGTTTAATTGACAATAGTCGACGCAGAGTCTACATTTACCATTCTTATTTTCCACCAAAACTTTGGACGCGCTGTGTGAACCATATGAAGGCTCAATGCATTCCTTCTCTAGCAACTCGTCCATCTCTTCATTAATCACCTCTTGCTGCTGGGGTTCTTCGGGAAATACCTTTGTTTGATAGGTATCATATCTCATCACTATGTGTGGCTATGGTGGATACCCCCAACATCCGGTCGTATTCCTGCAACTCTTTTCTGTTGACCTCTCTCACATCGGCGTATGGATGGTTTTGTACTGATTGGCACGGATTTGTCGTATTCTTCGAATTTTCATCTTCTAATGTAGAAATGGTTGTATAAGTGACGGCTTTTCTTCTCTTATATTCACTCTCAGCTTTGCGGACTCTCCTCCGCACCTTAGTTCCATGTTAACTTTCGACAGTTAGTGAGTTCCGATATCCACCTCATCGTCTAGACTTTTTAATTCAAGCAGCTCACTGTCATGCACCTCGTTACTCAACTTCACTTCCGCTTTTGCTGTTTCTATAACCTCCTTCTGTCTGCCATCGCCCATTTTTACTAGTGTATTCACTTTATTCTTTTGCCTCGTCTGTATCCTTGTCGCCATCTGTCTGCTCACAAAACTTCGTGTCGCTCCTGTGTCGATTGCAGCCGTGACCTGATCTCCGTTCATATCTACAGTGGCCGTGTGTTTGCTCTCCATGCTGTTATTGATTCCAAATCGCCTTTCGTCCACGTTCGGGTATTGGTAGCGGTCTTCTCTCTGACGCGGTTCACATAGCTTTGCTGTTGTCTTTAACGGCTCTCTTGTGTTCCGCGTAAGCCCCTGGAGTTCCAGAACGTAGTCTTTAAACCAACTTATCGCCTGATCATTGGATGCGCGGTCGGACCACGTCCTCGAGTTGGTTGAAGGAACGCGTGCTAAGGAAGAATTTCAAGAAATCTCTTTTGAATGCTGCCAGTGACGGTTGTTATTGTGGAACCACACGAGGGCTCTGACCTCCAATTACTCTTGTAGTACCCCTGGAATTGCATTTCGACCTATCTCTTAGCCGTCCGCTAGTTCCATGGGGGCAGCATCTTCCCAATTGCGGGATCAGAGATTCCACAGGCATGCCTTAAAGGTTTTGCCATAAATTTGAGACCCATAGTAAGTTTTTGTTAAAATGGTAAGTTTAGTAAAGTTTATGCGTGTGTCATTGTAGATATGACTTTTATTTGAAGAAAGATGTTTTATTACATTGAGCCTGGAGGCGAGATGTTGCTTGATATATGTACAATGTTGGTTAAATGTATTTCTTTTATCGAAAAGCAAACCTAGAATTTGTATATTGCAGTTTCGGTACTTTCTATTGTTTCGCCATTGAATCTAATATTTATTCTGCTGCACTTAAGTTTTTCTATTTCTTAGTGTGTGCTTGAAGAAAGATTTAATGTCATTGGGGTCTTTTTTATTATACATTATATATAGATCATCTGCATAAAGGAAGAAACCTACGTTGCCTGTTTTTTTATTTAAGATTACAACAATGTCTTCCAAAGCTATTAAATAGAGAGCTACAGACAATGGGGAGCCCTGTGGAATTTCATTTGACACAGGGAGTACTAGCGAAAAAGCAGTTTTTACTCTAACTCCAAGTTTCCTATTGGTTAAAGGCTTTATATTTGTACATCTTTTCACCTATTTTCCATCCTTGGAGTTTGTTTAGAACAACATGGACTCATATCAAATGCGCTTTAGAAGTCGATTGCGTGTATAGACAGGTGGTTTTTACTCATAAGATGGTCAATGTATAACAGGGCATCTGTTGTGCTAGATTCTTTTTTGAAGCCAACTTGCTGCTATGGTAGTCTATTCGCTTTCATTTTCTCTTGTAATTTTCCTAAGCACAGTAGTAAAGATATAGGGTTACAGTTTTGTATAGAATTGTTGTTTTTGTTCGGATGGGTAAAACTGTGGATATTTTGAAGTTTTATGGAATAATCTCTTCGTAGGACTGGTTATATAACGCCAGTATTCACTTTTTAATGACTATCGGTGAGTTGGATATCATTTTATAAGTAATCTTATCATGTCTTGGGGTTAAGCCTTTGAATTTTTCAGACCTACTTCGAGTTCATTCATTGGGAAATTTGTTCCTAAAAATGCGTGTATCTATTTGGGGAATCATTAATTTCAGTGTGTAGAGTTCTATTTTTTCTATTTGGAAATCAACAGGAAAGTTTGATGAGTCAGAGCTAAAAGAGTAGAAGTCAGCGAATTCGAGGGCAATGTTATTTGGATTTGATATGTTTTTGTTGTTGTTTACTAAGATATTTTTGATTACAAAGGGCATAAAAGTATTTGAGAGAAGGTGAATCTTCTCCAAATGTAGGTTATTGAAGAGAAGGGCTTAATGGTTTTTGTGAGGTCTTCGACGGATTTTGTTTTGGATACTTTCTTGTGTCTGATAAACATTCATTAGCATCTTTTCTTAGTATTTTTTGTATTTGTGCGGCTTCTTTGCTCATATTTGGGGAAATTACATAGTCATTTATTTCTGCAGTGTTTTGAAATTTTCTCCAATCTGCACGATCACAGTTGAATAGAGAAATTAAAGAAGGTGTGGTTGGAACGTGCTAATAAGTTAAAAGTAATTTGTATAGGAAAATGGTCACTGTTGTGGAGGTCATCTATTATATTCCAGCAGGCAGAAAGAGGATACTGGGGCGAGCATAGAGATAAGTCTTCGTTGGTGAATGTGCCATGTGTTGAAAAGTGGGTTGGTACATTTTCGTTTAGAATTACTAGCTTAGAGCCTAGGACTCCAACCATTGAAATCTCTCAACATTATAATAGGAGTATTTATGTTATTGGTTAAATTATGAAGGTCAGCTATGGTCAATGAATATAAATGCAGGAAATTGTTATTGGATGGGGAAAATTGATTTCTACAGATTTTAAAATAAGACTTCACTGAATGCTGATAAGTTTATGTTGAATAGACTTATGTATTAATATAGCACAGCCCTGTTTGGAAGTGTGTGTAGTAAATTAGAAAAGTATCCATCGTAATGTTTTGGGCAATAAGGTTTGGCGCTATCAATCAAATGCATTTTTTGATGGCAGGGAATTTGAAGGGAATAAGTTTTTAGTAGAATTTCTGTTTCTGTGTAGTTTTTGTAATATCTTTTACAATTGCAACATTGCAGTAAATTAAGAGACATATCAATAAAGAGTAACGTTTAAATTTTAAGTGCAATAACTAACATGTTCCAAGTCGTCAGAAATGTCTTCGAACTGGTTTGACAAGCTTGTGTTGTTGTGTTTCGCATGGTTGTTATCAGTGATTGTTGAAAATGTTGGTATTTCGGTAATATTGTTTGGGTAACCTGAGAGGTCGTACTGGAAGTTATGCTGAGATGTGTAACGTGGTAAGAGGGAGAGTACTTGATCTTGAGAAGATTCGTTGATGGTATTGTTGTTATTTGATATTTGTGTTTTCTGTGCATCGTTCTGTTGATTGTCGTTTTGTTTATCATTGAAGTTTGCTTTGTCGTTGTTGGATTTGAGATTTTGAGGGTCTTCAGAAGCTGATGAATTAGATACGTTTTAGCAAATAGGTTCATGTATATTTACTGAAGGAATGTTATCAATATCTTTTTGTTTTATTTGTTAATCAGAAAAGTGGTTTATTATTTGCGGAAAAGTACAGTTGTGGGCAAGACTTGTGTGGGATGTTGTTCTTTATAAATATATTCGACGCGCTTCGTCCATGCTAATCTTGACTCCAATACACTTGGCAGTTCAAATCTGTCGAAAGTTTAAACAATAAGTTTTTCCTTAAATAAGTTTTTCCTTAAATAGTTTGGTGAATTTGTGGACATTTTTTACTCCTTATGAGCTCAGTTCATTAAAAAATAAAATCTTTTACTGAGCTTAAACTAGAATGAAGTTTCACTAATATTGAGCACAAACCACAGAGGTCTTTCCATTTTAGATATATTTCAATAGATTTAGCATTGCTTGCTAGGATTAAGATACTTCCATCTTTGAGCTTAGAATTTGAATCTGCTTCCTCTAAAATTAGTATGTGCAGATAGGCTTAATTTAGGAAAACGTTTGTCTGTATCAGTACGGGAGATCACTAAGTATTTAGCAATTTTCACTGTTTTTATTTGCCGATCAATCCGTGAATTTTTAGGCAATGTGTATTCATTTGATGGTAAGGATAATCTAGGATTTATCCGCAGCTCTCCTTATAGATGGCTCTAATGTGACGCACCATGTAAGCTCCGGCCTGAAAGAAAGTGACACAATGTATTTGCCATTCTTGTTGCGCCTAGTTGTGCGTTTATACAGCTCATTGCTCCGGTCTTAATTGAGGCTTTGCCAAAGCCACAGCTTTTATAGAACCCAACGGGTCACAGGTCACATATACCGCAATCAAATAGCCAAAGTTTCCTTTCCCTGCCTAGATACTGAACTGTTGATGCCCGAAACTGGGGCATTCAATCTTTTGGTTGACAGATTGATTCTCCGTCTGAGCCCGGCCGTAATGAAGGAACACTCAGAGCCAGAACCAATAAGTGCTCTCGCTAAAGAGGTTGTCCCTCTGAAACAAACGTTGACACGGACTGTACCTAATAAAATAATATGATGAGTTTTCATTTTAGTAATCGCTTTGTTTTTGCCTTTTGCAGATTCTCAACGCATTCGAGGCTGTTTGGTTGTTGAAGCAGAACTATCCAGAACTCAATAAGAATCACTACTGTTTGTTGCTTGGGGAAATTTCATGTGAACGTGAAGCAGTCAGTAAAATTATATTTGCTTGTACATCTCGTTATTATATGTCTGACAGCCAGGCAATTTTAGACACATTATTTGCTTCTCACAAAGGCAGTTTTATCGTCTACGAACTATTTACGAAAGCTTGGACATTGCGTTCTGTATTCTGTACGAAGGTTTGGCGACACTTGCTTGAAATTCACTTTTATTAGCGATCCATATCTATCAATTTCGATATTTCAGTCTTATCTTCAACTAATTGTTCCCTCAGTGAAGTGTTATGTCTGGCAGCTTTGTCGATCACAGGTTTATTAATATTGGAACTCTACTTGAAATGTCGATCTGATGACTATCTAATGCTAGTTGTAGTTGTTGATATCTCTTTGTAGTCATTTAGTCGAGTTACC